GGGTGCAGAAGAAGCGTGCGGGCGGTCCTCCGTGTACTTTCGAGGATGTGCTAGAGAAGCGAGGTGGCAGCCACAGGTGGGGAGTGTCTTCAGGTTTCTCCCCAATCAGTGAAATGCCTTTTTTTTTCCTGGTGTCCAGGTTCTGGCAGGGACAGGTTTAATTTTCACATCACTTGAATGGATGCAGCCAGAATGGCTGACCCAAAGTAGCCAAAAGTGGCTATATACCTGGGGAAGGTGGCTGGGGAAGGGGTGGGGGAGCCGGGGGGGAGGGGAGCGGGGTGGGGGGATGGAGTGGGGGCAGGAATCGCTGCTTGGGAGCAGGCTGGGCCTTTGGTTCCCATCAGTGAGTGGCTCTGTGTTAATTGTGTTTTGTATATTCCTCTATCAGAATTATTGTTGTTGTTTTCCTCTGTCCTTTGCTGATCTTTTAAACTGCCTTTATCTCAACCCATGAGTTTTGCCTTTTTCTTCTGATTCTCCCTCCATCCCACTGCTGGGAGTGGGCAAGTGACCACATGGTTCTTTGTTGCCCAGTGTAGCTAAACCATGACTGTCCTTTTTGGTGCCCAACGTGAGGCCCAAAGGGTTGAGATGACGACAGATCTGACCAGAGTGTCTTTAAAACGAATTTTGTATACAAATGTATTGCATTTGTAAAATAGTCAGTGGTCACGATGTTGCTTTGTTTGTTGACATGGCTGTGTTAAGTGGATTCTTGGGTGCTCTCTGTACTTCCCGCAATGCTCTTTATCACCTCTAGGAGAGGGATCAGGATTATCGTTTTGCTGTCCTGTGTAATACCGATTTATTGTATGATAACTTCACTGTTCACACAGTTATGTTAGTGTGTTTATGCGGCATTGCTGTCCTGCCCATACCTTGGGCATGATCTCTTGCACTTTATTAATAATCACACCCAGTCTGTGGGGGAAACAGTGGGGGATACTTTCCCCCGCTCTTTTGCCTCCCTTTTCTCCTTTGGGTCAGGAACAACAGCTTTTTTAGAATTTTGAATATCCGTGGGATGCTCAAACCAGCATGGTCCTATTGCTGTGTCTCCTGAATGTGTTTCGGGTCTTGTTTAGGGTTAAACAACTGTTTAAGACGTACCGCCCAGAGATCTGCCCCGAGGCTGGGGAGTCACGGGTGGCATGGCCTGTGGGAGAATTGGGCAGGAGTCTGGATGCGGTGGTTGGGGCCAGACTGGCCACTGAAACGAACGACAGATGCTCTCCTCAACCCTCCCTTCAGGGAGAAAAGGGTGACAGAGAAAGAGACTTATGAGTTTAAAAGAAAACTAGACTAATGAAATATTAATAATAAAATAATGAAAAGAAAAGATAATAATATCAAAAAAGAAAATAATGAACGATACACAATATATACAAAGCCGTGTCAAGCTCCCAGGATGACGATCACGTCACTGACAGGCACGGGTAAAGTCCCAGAGTGGACTCGGCGACAGACGGGAACTGGATTCTGGATGCGGATTCAGGAACGCATGGATCAGGATCAAAAGCAGACAAACAGCCAGAGTCCTCCTCGGACAGTGGCCATTGAAAACAGAGCTTACCCTTTGATCCCTCAGCTTTTGTACTGAGCACGAGGCAGATGGGATGGAATACCCCGTTGGTCAGTTTTGGGTCACCGTCCTCGAATCATAGAATTGTCTAGGTTGGATCATCAAGTCCAACCATCAACCTAACACTACCAAAACCACCTAAAAACCTGCCCTGTCCACTCCTCCCCGCCGGTGCGACCCCTCTATGCTTTTCTGCGGCTGACCCTCCAACGGGGCGCATAACAAAGTGAGGTGCCCTCGGGTGTAAGTGGGAGCCTCTGCCCCCCGTGCCTTGGCGTGTGTTAGAAACCCCAGGCTTTATCTCTGTAGAAGTCGACGGTCTGAAAAATATGCTGTCAATTTCAGAGAGTGCCGTTAGTTTGAAGAGACTTAACTGAAACGTAAAATTGCTGAACAGAAACTTGATTCTGTTTTACCTCAAACCAGGACACTAGAGAACTGCTCTCCTCCAACGGTTTGCCACTTCAGCCCCAGATAACTACAGGACCCTGCTAAAGTGATGGAATATTTGAAAGGAAAATGCTGTGGTTATTCCAGGTAGGTGCAATTTACCGCACTGTCCTGGGCCAGTATCTGCCAAACACTGCTTCATACTGTGCAGCATCCTCAGGGGAAAGAGAGGAGAACCAGACCAACAGGCACCGCGGCTACTCCAGCTCCCAGGACGGGCACTGCGGCTACTCCAACCCCGGTAACAGGAACTGCAGCTAAACCAGAAAACCAACCAGAGGGCAGGGAAGCCAAGCAGCTGGGATCCCTGTCTAGGGAAGGGGGCACCGAAAAGGCGATCGGGGAAAAAGACACAAGCCCTCAGCCTCTGGAGGTGACTCCTGTCAGGCGTGAGGCAAAGGTATCCCTTCAGTGAAGATGACGTATGTTGTCCAGGCAAGCCCACCACCATGGAAAGAGGTATCCAGTACCTGCAGGAATTAGCCATGTGGGAAATGGTTTATTATGACCCAGACAACACGCAGTTACCCACAGATCCTGATGAAGTCCAATGCACACGGCCCATGTGGTGGAAGTTTGTACAGAGCACTCCATCATCGTATGCTCACTTCTTGGCAGTGATGGAACGGAAGGGTGAAGAGGGAGCAATGGTGGATGAGGTGGCTGGCCGACTCCAGCAATACGAAGAAAGTCTCTCTTCCCCCCTCATCTTGGCTGTGGAGAAACTGTCCTGGAAGGTCCAGCAACTCAAAGAGAGTATGTCCTACTCCCCACCTGTACAGGCCAGTATCTCAGCTCTTAGGAGCAGGCATTTCTCTGCTCAAGAGAGAGGTTATAGAGGGTACACACCATGAGGCACCTTGTGGTTTCCCTGCGTGAGCGTGGAGAGGACATGAGGAAGTGGGATGGACAACCTACCTTGATCCTACGGGCACAGGTACATGAGTTGCATGGAAGAATAATCACAAAAGGGGATCCCCCTGGGAGAAATGCCCCTCCAGTTTCCAGCTGGCAGTTCCCCAGATGGAGCAGAAGGCCTCATTTTACTTCTGATCTTCTTGAAGGGACTTCCAAGTCATTTCTGCAAGAAGTGAGTAATGGACACAATGAGAGGGGCCCTGCCTCCAGCCAGGTGGGGGAAAGGGACAACCGGGTTTATTGGACTGTGTGGATTCAGTGGCGTCAGACCCACAAGAGTGGACAGGGGTGCACAGCATACCCTCATGCCATCACGCTGCAGAGGGGCGGAACCCATCTGTATTGCTGGAGGGAGGGGGGGATGCCATCAGCTGGCTGTACTGGAAGCTGAAGTGAGCCTAACTGGGAATGGGTGGCAAAAGCATCCCATCGCGACTGGCCCAGAGGCTCCGTGCATCCTTGGCATGGACCACCTCAGGAGAGGGTACCGGCGGGCTTTTGGCATAGCTGCCGTGGAGACGGAGGCAATTAAACAGCTGTCAGCCGTGCCTGGGCTCTCGGAGGCCCCTCCTGGTGTAGGGTTGCTGGGGGTTGAAGAACAAGAGGTGCCGATTGCTACCGCAACAGTGCATCGATGGCAATACTGCCCCAACTGAGGCTCCCCGATTCCCATCCGTGACCCGATTCGTCAACTAGAGACTCAAGGAGGGATCAGCAAGACCCACTCACCCTTTAATAGCCCCGTATGGCCAGTGTGAAAATCTAACGGAGAGTGGAGGCTAACAGTGGGCTATCGTGGCCTGAATGAAGTGAGGCTGATGCTGAGTGCTGCTGTGCCGGCCATGCTAGAACGTCGATGGGAACTGGAGCCCAAGGCAGCCGAGCGGTGTGCCAGAACTGAGATTGCAAATGTGTTTTTCTCAATCCCTTTGGCAGCAGAGTGTGCGCCACAGTTTGCTCTCACTCGGAGGGGCGTCCAAGTGCCCCAGGGGGTGGAATCGACTGCCCCAGGGGTGGAAACACAGCCCCACCATGTGCCACGGGCTGATCCAGACTGCCCTGGAAGAGGGTGAAGCGCTGGAACATCTGCCATACGTCGATGATATCATTGTATGGGGCAACATGACAAAGAAGTTTTTGAAAAAGGGAATGAAATAGTTCAGATCCTTCTGAAAGCTTCTTCTGGACGGCTGACCCAAACTAACCCAAGGGGTATTCGATACCATCCGACGCTGTGCCCAGAACATAGCTGGGGGAGCCGGCTGGGGCCGGGGGGGCAGGAATCGCCGCTTGGGAGCGGGCTGGGCTTCGGGTTCCGGTCGGTGAGTGGCTGTATGTTAATCGTGTTTGTATGTTCCTCTTCAGTAGTATTGTTGTTTTCTTCTTTCCTTTGCTGTTCTGTTAAACTGCCTTTATCTCAACCTACGAGTTTTGCCTTTTTCTGCTGATTCTCCATCCCCCCATCCCACTGGGAGGGGGGAGTAACCGTGTGGTTCTTTGTTGCTGGCTGGGGCTAAACCATGACACGTGGGTTTCTTGTAGGGATAACGATCGTGAGTGGGCACAGAAGGGAAGAATAGCGGTCCGGGGGCAGTCTTTCTAAAGCAGCTCTTGCCCGAGGATGGCTGGGCATCACTCTGCTGGTGAGAGGTGGTCAGCAGTGTCCCTCACAGCACTTGTTTTCCTTTTTTGCCCCTGCACTTGTTAAACTGTCTTTATCTTGGCCCTCACGCTCTTCTTGCTTTGGCCCTTCCGGCTCTCTCCCCCATCCCGCTGCGCAGGCGAAAGGAGGGAGTGAGGGGCTGCTGGGGGCTTTAGCTGATGCCCAGGGTCAACCCTTCAGTTTCCAACCTCGTTTAACTGATGACACGAATCTGGCCTTACTGCAGGGTGAGTGAATGTTGTGAAGCAGATGTAACTGGCAGTTGCTGTGCCCGCAGCCGCCGGCAGTGGGAGATGCCCCGACCTGAGCTGGAGGGTTGGTAATATCGAATTCTCAGCTTGTGCTGTGCATCTTTCAAAGCTTTTCCACGAGGTCTGTGTCACAATCTCAATGCGAGAGTGAAGTGAGAGCGCAGAGCTCTCATTTCAGTCGCTCTGGCTTCTCCATTCGAGGGACCCTGTGTCTGCAAGACTCCGATGGTCCCGATCTCTTCCAGCAGGAGCCTCCATCCATCTGCCCATCTCTCCACGTCGTTTGGTGAGTTCATGGTGACCGGGCTTTCCAACTTCGATGCCCCAGAGACAGATGAAGTGACTTTCCTGAAGTCACCCTGGGAGGGTTGGGACAGTGATGAGAAGTTTGATCCTTCTGATTGTGTTGGTACTGTGTGAGCATTGACACCTGCAGTGTCAGTGTCCCGGGCTTTTGTGCCGCTAAGTTAACGACCCCCAGTATCACTCAGCACTTTGTTTAGTGCCCACTCAGGTTTTTGGTCCCTGCCTTTTATGGTTTGGGGCCTTTATGGGTTCTCTCTCATTGCTGTCAGCTGTTTCTGTCGCATCCCGACTCTCGCCCCTGCACGGGACAGGTCAGGGACTTCATTCAGTGCCGCTGTCCCTGTCCCCTGAGGACACCCTTCATCCCAGCCCAGAGGTGGAGAATCCCTTTTTCCAGGGCCGGTGCTCAGAGAGCTGCTTCCCCAGCACTGCCCTTCCCCGACGGCACAGCCGGGCATTGCCTCTGCCCCGACCCTGCTCCTGTCCCCGCCTCAGCCCTGGGCACCACAGGACCCCCTTGCGATGTCTGGCTGTGATGAGCAGGAGCCGCACAAGCAGCGCCAGCCGTGCCGACATCCCGCAGCCAGCTGGGGCGTGCAGGGAGGCAGGCCCCGTGCTCGTGCGAGGCCCTGGGTGCGTGTGAGGTGCCCACGAGGCGGCTGGGAGGGCTCTCGGTGCCCTGGAGTTCTCGTGGAGGCACCGGCTGCTCCTTGGGTGCTCACAGGGAGCTCGTGCAAGGGTTTGGCGGGGGCAGGAAGGGTGCTTGTGCGGGGGGCCGGGGCTGCCCCCCTCCTCACTGCCCCGCGGGGACACAGGTGGCCGAGGGACCCAGGCATCTAGGTGACCCCCCTTCATCCCTGCACAGCCCCCCTGCTCCCTGCAGCGTCCCAGGCAACTGTCCCTGTTCTGTCCCCTCCCCACCCCGGCACAGACAGGGGACACAAGGCACAGCTCACACATAGTTTATTTATTGTCCCCGACTGTGACAAAGGGGCTGTGCCCAGAGTGTTCCCAGGCATGAGGGGAGATCACCAAGGTCAGGGGATGATGTGGCGTGTCACTGGGGCTGCAGGGACAACATGAAGTGCCACCACACATTGAGGGCGTCATGGGGGTGAGGGGACAATGGGGTGTTACCAGGGCTGAGGAGCACGGGGGTGACCCTCTGTGGGTGTAGGGGACAGGGACTGTCCCTGCATGTTGCTGTGTGTGGGGACATGGGACGTTCTTGGGTGTTGCTGCGGCGGGGAGGACACATGGAGTGTCCCCGTGTATGATGTGGGGACTCACAGGGTACATACAGGTCTGCCCCAGATACATAACAGGACCTGGGACGTGTCCCCCTCCCAGAGATGTCCCCACTCGGCTGTACCCCATGGTGACACAGGTGTCCCATGTCCCTCCGCTATGTGATGCCATATCCTGTACATCGACCCGTGTCCTACCCGCGCTCACAGATGAGCTCGACGACGCTGTGCTCCATGGGGACAGGGTCGAGGCAGCGGTGGGTGGCGCTGGCGGCCACCTCGTCCAGCAGCCCCTGCACCGAAGCGCCAGAGGTAGAGCTGCAGGTAGTGGCCGTCCACCTGCACCTGCTGCAGCCCGAAGCGCCCCAGCGTCCGCAGCCGCACACACTCCAGCAGCGTCTTCAGGCTGATCTTGATGATCCCCGTCAGCACCGACACCTGGGATGTGGGGACAACAGGGACATGTGGCACAGGAGGACAGGGATGTCCCCAGGGTAAGAAGGTCCTGAGTCCCATCTGCACGGGGATGTGGGGACACCCCTCTCCAGGGTACTGTCTCTCATGCTGGTCACATCCCCAGGGATCCCCCGAGGCCCGACACATGGCTGTTGGGAGCACAGGGAGGCCCCAAGTCAGGTCAGGACAGGGACACGGGGCCACCCTCGCCCTGGTCATCAGCTGCAGGGACCCCGAGTCCCTAACACCTAGGACAGGGGAGCCTCAGGGGACAGCGGGAACGCCCCTGTCCTGGTCATCAGCTTCTGGGCCCCAACACCTGGGTCATGGGGACAGCAGGGACACGAGACAGCTGGGAAAGTGGGCAGTTTGGGGACCTTGGGGACATTAGGGGACATGGGGATGTCCCTGTGGCCTCACCTTGTTGAACTCGACGGGGCTGAAGATGTCAATGCGTTCGGAGAAGAGCTTCTGGATGTTGCTGAGCAGGTGGGTGTCCATGGGGGCGCTGGGGATGGGGACACCAGGACAGTCAGGGACACAGGGCCAGTCAGGTATTTGAGAAAGCCAGGGGATGTGGGGACAGGGACACAGCGGCTGTCAGGAGGCGCGGGGATGGGGACACAGAGATGGTCAGAGGATGTAGGGATGGTCAGGGGATATTGGGATGGTTTGGAGACACAAAGACGGGGAAGATGAGGATCGGCAGTGGATGTGGGGACAGTCGGGGAACGTGGGGATGGTCACAGGATGTGGAGAGATGAGACAATTGTGGGACACAGAGCACATGGGGATCATCAGGGGATGCTGGGACAGTTTGGGGACAGGGGGACAGCCAAGGGATGTGGAGATGGTGAGGGAATACTGGGGCAGTTTGGGGACAGGAAGAGGGTCACAGGGAAGATGTAGTGGTTACTGCAGGGGTGACACAGGGGTGACAGGGTGGCACTGGGGTGGCCGAGAGGTGCCAGGGCGACAGGGCTGACCTGGGGGTGTAGCTGGGGGCGTAGCGCCCCGGTGCCCGTGAGCTGCTGTAGACGGAGAAGGCGCGCCGGCTCGGGTCCCTGCTCTGCGCCCCCCGCACCCCCAAGCGCGGCCCCACCTGCGGCACCGCACTCGCTCAGTGCTGGCATCCCAGAATCCACCCAGAATACCCTCTGGGACCCCCCCAAAACCACCCAGGATCCCTCAAATCCTCTGTGACCCTCCCAAGCCCGTCTGGGACCCCAAAGATCCTCAAGGACCATATGGGGACCTTGGGCATCCCCTCTTGATCCTTCAGGGACTTCATCCCCCCACCCCGGACCCTCTGGGACATCTGGGACCTCACAGCGGACTTTAGGACCCCCCACAGGGACCCTCTGGGACATCAGGGACCCCCCAGGTGACTTCAGCCCCTCTGGGCTCCCGGTGTTGCCCCAACCTGGACATCGATGGCGGTGATGTCCTCGACCACGCGCTTCATGACGGCACGAACATTGCGGGGCTCAACGGTGCCCAACCAGTCTCGTGTCTCCACGACAAAACTCTTCCTAAGCATCTGTGCCACCGCGGCGCCCTGCACCTGCACGTAGTGGTCGAGCAGCCGCTGTGCCGCCCCCCGCGCCTCTGCGCACAGTGCCGGTCCCGGTGTCACCGCTGGGCCGGTGTCCTGGGGGTGCAAAGGACATGGAGACACGTGAAGACATGTAGGAACACCCCACACACCTCTGCACACAGCGCTGTCCCCACCGTCACCACTGCCCTGTGGCCTCGGGATTCAAGAGACGTGGGGACATGTCGGGATCCCCCTGGGGGCACAGAGACACCACGGGACACCCGGGATGCTCTCCAGGCTACCCCACCTGCAGCAGCATCGCTGCCATCCTCGTATCTTTGGGGCGTCTGGGGGGACTCGGGGACATGCAGAAGCCCCTTGGGGACATGTTGAGGTGCCCTTGGAGGCATTTGGGAGACACTGGCACAGGTAAGGACCCTTCTGCCCACAGCAGGGCACTGGGAGGGACCTGGGACTTTTTGGGGTCCCTCAGGGACATTTGGGGGCACACAAAGACAGAAGGAAGATCCCCATACCTCCACGCACACCGTTGTCCCCACCATGACATCCTGGGTGGACACAGGGCCACAGGAATACTTGGGGCCATTTGAGGTCCTCTTGGGGCCGCTTTTGGGACAATCAGACCATTTTGGGTCTACTAGGGGATATTTTGGGGGACACAGAGAGAAGGAAGATCCCTGTGCCTCCACGCACATGTTGGTACCCACCACCATGTCCTGAATGGATGCTGGGACAGAGGGATGCAGAGCCATTTTGTGACATCTTGGGGACATTCAGGGTCCCCTTAGGGCCATTTTGGGACCAAATGGGGCAGTTTTGGGGGCTCACCTGGGGGGGAAACTGCTCGTCGGTGAGAGTGAGGATGTAGCTGATGGTAGTGGCCTCATAGTAAAGGAAGAGGCGGGCGGGGAGCAGCAGCAGGGCCGGGGGAGCCGCGGGAGCCCCTCGCTCAGCCGGGCCATCGGCGACGCCCCGGGCGGTGCGGCAGAGCCAACGCACAAAGGCCACCACCAGCCCTTCACGCACCGCTTCCACACAGAACTCCCCCTGCAAGCAAAAGTAGGGAGTTACACCCCAAAAATACCACCCCGGGGCCCTCAAAACCCACAAAATACCCCCACATCGCCTTGTGCAACCTCCAAATTGCCCGTGATTGCCCCAGTGACCCCCCACCCTGCCCCATGC